GTCTGTGGGTAAACCTGACAGCACATGGGTGCCAAGAACCGGCTCACTTCACTCAACACTGAGAGGGAGAGACAGCGAGGTCACCAAGGGCTTTCAGGAATGATGACACCTGAGCTGAGTCTCAAAAGGAGGACCAAGGGTTAGTGGGTCAGAGACTGGAAAGGCGATTCCTGCAGAGCAAGCAGCATATGCAGTGCCTTCGGGGCCTGACTAACCCCAGGATTGTGGGGCCACTGCAGGGGGTCAGCCTGGCTGAGGCCTGGCTGGATGGTAAGTCCCTGGAGGGGGTGGCACCGTCAGACCTTGGGCTGCTGTCTGGAGGTTGGATTTGAGAGAGAAATAAAAATAGGAGGCTGCTGAAATACTCTCAGAGAACGGAGTGGAGGGTTGCCTTGATGAACTGACACCGATGATGAGCAGGAAAGAGGGGAAGGATGTGAGAGCGTTTTCGTAGGTAGAGCTGTTTGGATTTGGTGACTGAGTGCTGTTGTTGGGAGTGAGATGAAAGGAGAAGCCTAGGATAGGGATGATGATGGTGACAAAGATGATGCTTACGGCTAATGTTTGTTGAGGGTGTAAGTGCCAGGCACTGTGCTAAGTGTTTCATATACACCATGTCATTTGAGTCTCATCATGAACTATTGAAGCTCATGAGTATATTTTTATACTCATGATACAGATGAGGAAACTGAGACCCAGGGAAGCTGTTACTTGGCCAAGGTCACCAGGTTAGTATGTGGAACAGCCAAGGACAGTCAGACCTAAAGAGCTATGCTCTTAACCATACTCAGTACCGGCTATGCTCTTAACCATACTCAGTACCGGCTATGCTCTTAACCATGCTCAGTACCGCCCCCAGGGTTTTAGCTTGGGTTGGCCAGGAATCCGAGGAAACGGAAGGAGAAAAATGTTTGATTGTTGGGGAAACGACAAACTGAGCTGAGGACAAGTTGAACTGGAGATGCTGTGGGTTATTCCATGATAACCAACAGTCAAGAGGGCAGCTCTGGAGGGATCCTGCTGGGGGTGCAAGTCACGGGGATGAATAAGACAACCAAGAGCATGAGCATGAGGAGAGAAAAAGGCCAGGGAGGGACCAGGGTTCACCAAAGAACCAAATGTGTCCTTTGGATATGGCCATCTAGGAGCAAGATTAGTGCAGCCATAGGACAGAGGCAAAATCTACTATTCTAAGGAAATTGGATGCACAAGGAGGAAAGAAGAGTCACCAGAAGGGATGGGGGGGGGGCAGAGAGCTCTTTTTTCTTTCTTTTAATCGTTAAGATGAGAGCGATTTGCAAATGTCACAGGCTAGAGAGATGGAACCATTAGAAAGACAAATTTGATAATGAATGGGAGAGGAGAAAAGTGACGGAACGACAACCTTGAGGCAGCTGGAGGGATGAGGTGAGAGCATCAGTCTTCAAAAAGAAAATGAACACTTCTTTTGAGTCTAGAGAAAAATATAGGTTTGAATGCACCTTGAACAGGACCCAGGGGCTTTAGAAAGGTAAGATTTGGCCAACTGCTACAGCTATTGTGCTCTACATCCACTGCCACGTTTGCACAGTGGCCACACTTCCCATGGGTTGCTCGCAGCCTAGACGGAGCATGGCAGGGAAAAAATTCCCAGGGAACCCATTCCCGGGATATGGGGGACGACTGCTCAGATGGTTCATCTAGACACAGGGACTCCCCAAAGGCCGTGCTGAACCTTCCTCAGGTACATGGCCGTCTCAAGATACTTTCCACCCAATCTTCCCTCCTTCCTTTCTTCACTTGCGGTCAGCCCTGCATTGCATCTGCCGGCTCCTCCCGCTTTCCCAAGCTCCCTATTTTCTCTCGAGTGTCTCTTAACACCATCCTTGTACATTTAGTCCTACTGGCATCTGCTTCTTAGAGGACCCAGACTAACATAGCCACCCAGGCACACGTGGATAAAATCAGAAAGGTTGAATTAGGGAGACTCGGATCCCTCAGTGGGAGGTGATGAACCTAAGGAGGCTGTGACGGGTCTGCATGTGAGGGCAAAATGGGCGGTGGGAGTGCAGGGGGGATCCTGGTCACCTTCTCACAGAGGCCTGCAGCTCACTGTTGACTGTCTGCCAGGCACAAGACAGATTCTCAGGAGGTCCAGGCAGATGTAACCACATAAGGATGGGTATGAATACAGACAAATGGATGGGGGCTGGTGGGCACTGGGGGAGAAACTGAAGGGGTTCCCACCTAATTCTCAGAGAGCAGGAAGTGAGGTCAGCTCTGTGAATATGACCAGTCCACGGGGTGGGACCTTGCAAACTGGAGGTTTGGAACAGCTGCTATGGTGAGAGGGAGGGAGAGACGGCTGACAAACACTGTAATGAAAAGAGAATGGAGAAGTGGCAGGGGCAGGAAAATGTTTTAGGGCCTTGTAGGCCTTGGGAGGGTCTCTGGATTTTACACTAACTGCTAAAGGGAAACCTTGGAGGGTTTTGAGCTGGGGCCCTACAGGACCGGATCTGTAACTTAGAAGGACATTCTGGCTACTGTAGGAGATGAGAATGGATGCAGCAGACCAGTGAGGAGGTTACAGCAGTCATCCAGGCAAGAGATGACATGGCCCAGAGCCGGGCGAGAGCAGTGCAGGTGCCGGTAGCTAAGAAAGTTCCCCTCTGATGACTGCTATTCTCCCACTGAAATAAGAAGCAGGGACACTGACATCACCTGAGAGGGGGGCTGGATGGGTAGGTGGGATTGTGCTTTTATCTATATGTTGGAAGGGTAGAAGAAACAGGCAAAGTTGTTAAAAGATAAGTAATAAAAACTTACTTTAATGTATAAAATAGGTAACTAATGAGTACCTACTGTCTAGCAAGCAACTCTACTCAATGCTCTGGTGTGACCTAAATGGGAAGGAAATCCAAAAAAGAGGGGATATATGTATACGTATAGCTGACTCACTTTGCTGTACAGCAGAAACTAATACAGCATTGTAGAGCAACTATACTCCAATAAAATTAAAAAAAAATAAATTAAAATAACCCTGCGTATTTAAGAAAGAAAGAAGACGCTTAAATCTTTTGTTACATTCCACTTTGAGCATTGGCCATAAGACTTATCTTTGATAGCATAGATTTTTTAAAAATCCCTGTATTTTCCTTGATAAGTGATACCTAACCCCTCTCCCAGTGAAGTAACCACTTAATTTCTTTGCAACTCATGAACCGCTGCAGTTCCTGTTAGGATGGGGCAGTAGTTACTGATTCCTGTCCACCAGACCTTCCCTGGGTGGTTATATCTGTAAAATTCATAAGTGTGTGTGTGTGTGTGTGTGTGTGTGTGTGCGCGCGCGCGCGTGTGTACGATGATCACATGCACTCACACAACACGCAGTATGTATGACAAAACTGCTTTGACAAAGGTTTGCCTTTTTAAACAAAAAGTGTGTCATATATTTTTATTAAATCATAGAAAACTCATTTGTATACAAATTTTTCCACTTTGGGGACAATGGAATGTTAAACAGCTGGGTAACAAAACAGTTGAAAGATACATCTCGCTTTAAGCAGAGACAAAATTTAAGTCGTCACATTTATTTAAAAAAAAATGTTGAAATAATCAGTAACAGGTTATTGGCTTTTTTCACCTTTGGGTCAGAGGAATAGTATCTCTTGTAAAGCCCCAATTCTCTTTAAGGATGCTTTTCATTACTCAAACCAACCATGAGTTTAAAAAGGTGATTAACTTGAAGTTTTAATACAAAATCAATTTCTTTTTCCCAACCATGGACTTTTAGGGTATTGTAAATGTCAAATTTCAGGACAGGGTCTCCTTTCACAGGACCTCTTATGCTTCTTTTCTACAACAGCAAATGTGTATAATGGTACAGAATATATTTCAGAATAAGTTAAATATTAAGACATACAGTATGGCAATAATGTCCTACTTTTCTTTCTACCATGTAAATTCAAAAGTTCATCCTAATCTTACACATTTATAAAAGGGTGAAGACTGAGGGATCCAGTGATAATGAAAATGCACAACAACCATCAGGACCACATTCTCTAAACACTTTGGCTGAATATATACAAATGGTCCTGCCAGAATCACGCCTGCATTTGTTCCACAGGGGATCTAAATGAACAGACGCTGAAGGTCACCAAACGAAAATGGGCAGTGGTTTTACAGTTTAGGTTGTCACTCATTCTGCTTTTGAGCAGAGACCCAGAGGTCACACTGTGACATGTCTGCACTCACCACAAACACTCACAGACCATAAACACAAATTAAATATTAGCAAACTTATTTTAAATTAAATTGAAGACCGCTATTTTTAAGTGCATGAAGTATTTCCCCCTAGCTTCTTAACGCGTGTTACAGAGCGAGAACATCCTGGGTAACATTTGTGTTCCTACATATTAGAGGCCAACGTGCTTCCTTTGAGAACTCCCTGGAGTAACACATGAGATCTTCAGGGGGAAAAAAGGCAATTCTCCAATCTAAATGGAGGGATAGTCTCAAACAGTCATTTTCCCAAACTCCAGTTTGGATTTCAGACTCATTAAAGCAGGAAATCAAAAATGTGATCTTTGGGAGTGGCTCCTGGTGTCACCCGTGGTGACAGTCTGTGTCCTAGGACACTCGACTGACCCTTAATACTACAAGCCTCACTTCAAGCTGCCCCCAGGTCCTGGGCCCCTGCTGTCAACCTGCAGACCTGGAGCTCTCCCAGGGAATGTGTAAACAAATCTGGGGAAAACCACGTTTCTGCAAGTTTTTGTTATGTCAGTGGTAAACCTCCTGGGCTAAGAAAAATAATAGGAAATGCCACCCCAATGGCAACTTCTCACAAGGCTTGTCTTCTGCTCATCCTGCTGTTGAAGACTATGAAGTCAACTCAAATATTCTTCACCTCGCTTGCCCCAAATGGTAACTAACCAGAGTTAGAAGCTTTTCTTTGGACTACCTTATTCCTGAATTACGACAAACGCTTATCTGAGCAAACGTGGTCCACTACCTTGTTACTGGAGGTGACTTGGAGAGGAGGCTAGGCTTTTGTGCAGATTGGGATTCTGGCTGTGTCTGTTTCGACTTCGAACAGACGAGAACATGGTGTTGCAGCCCGGGACTTTGCACTTGTGGAGCTGGCGGAGGTGCACAGTTTTGTAGTGAGCCCTGAAGGTCCCTTTATTACTGTACGTCTTTTGGCAGAGGTGACATGTTATGGGCAGCCCAGACGGCAGGCTGGCAAGGCTCTGGTCGGCCTTTTCCATCAGGACACAGATGGGATAGTCATCCTCCCCAGGGACCAGGCTCGCCCCTTCACAGTTGCCATCGCTGTCCTCCATGAGCACGGTGCCTTCCTCGCTTGCCCCGTCTGAGTCCCAGGAGGAATGGCTGCTACTCTCCGATTTCATGCTCGAGGTAGTACTCAAATCCAGGATGGTGCCCTCGCTTGGCGGACCGGAGGTGTAGCTCTCCAGGCCAGCGCTGTGGACTTGGGCTACTGGGTAAACCAGGCTGCCCATCCGACTCGTTCCCTTGAAGATGACAGATGTCGGGGAGGCTTGCTGTGTGAAAGCCACATCCTGACAGGCCTCCTTAGCCATATCTTTCAACAAGTAAGCTGCACGGAAATGGTCTTCACCGCTCTCCAACACTTCTTGAGTCAACACTTTTTGGTGGAGGTTTAGGTTTGAACTGTGTCTACAAGAGTGAAAAGACGATTAGCAATGGTTTGGGCTGTTGTTTCTGTTGTGTTAAAGACAGCCTTCATTCTGAGTAGAGACACTAGGCAGATATACCAGGAAAGCTTGTGGCATGAGAGAAGTGATACAGTGTGTGTGTGGTGGACACTGCCCACTGCCGTTCACCACCTGTCACAAGTTAGCATTTGACCAGAAAGGTCAATGGAATATGTAGTTCTCTTCAGTTTCCACAATCTGATTGACACATAAGTTCTTGGACCTCATCTTTAGAGAATGGCTAGACTACTTCAGTTAGGCCAGTTCAACTGGGACACTGGAACCAGGAGATCCCAGAAGAAAACTGGTCACAAACAGTAAGGAACTAAGCAGAGGACTTTATTTCAATGAAACAAGGAAATATTATCTTCTAGAGCTGTATTGTCCAGGATGACAGCTACTCATAAGTGTATGAGCACCTGAAAGGTGGCTATGTCATATACTGAAGTGATAATATTTTGGATAGGCTGAGTGAAATAAAATATGTTACTAACACTTACTTCACTTGTTTCTTTTTACTTTTTTTAATGTGGCTACCAGAAAATTTTAAATTTCCTATGTGGCTTGCATGGTGGTCTAGAGTATTTGCATACACACCCCCATGCAAGTTCTACAGGTGTGAAAATGTGACTGGCTAGAAATTGTATGCGTGTGCATGAGTGTGTGTGGGGGGTGTGCACATGTGTGTGTGCTAAATTTAGTTCGTATTTGCAACATTTCACTATATACCAGACAGAAATCTTGCAAATGCAGCACTGTGCGCACACTGCCAATCATCTACCCAATGATTACTCCTAAAGGGCAATAATGAGTATCCATTATGACACATGCCTTTTACTCATAAGATATCATTTGGATGTAACTTGTCAATCAATGTCGGCCTTGCTCGGAGATCCCCTAACTATTGGCAAGCAAAAACACCCCTTACCAGAGGGTACAATCTTAAGGGTGATTGGAGAATTATTCCAAACAGGGAAAATACCTCCCCCAACACAGATCAGAATGCATGCCAGGGTCAAACTGGGAAAAACACCCTCACCTAAATGACAAGGAATCAAATTTTCTCTTCTAAATCTCCAAGGACATATGGGAGGGGTGTTACTCATAAAACGTATCCAATTTATTTCTGAACTTCTTTTTAATCCTCTTATACATTCTTTTCTTGGGACATAATCAGAATTATACTCCCAGATCACCCACTTTGCAAGCAGCTCTTCTCAACTGCAACTCTGCCCTGTGATTATGTCAGCACCCTGGGTTGAAGGGGCAGGTATGTCTCGGCAGAAAACCAGACATTAGATTGACATACAGGTTCCAGTATACACAAGTGGTCAAAAAAAAAGTCTGACAAACACATTTACTGGAACACCTTACACAGAAAGGTCCCTGATGCAACAAAGCAAACCTCTGGGCCCTTTGCTCAACTCCTGAGGATCCCATGAACACCAAGAGCTAACATGTGGGAAGCCCTCTCTCCTCCTTAACCATCCTCAGAGGGTTAGATGCACTTCCCAAGGTGCCATGTCCCCTGAGACCAGTGAGTACCACAGCTTCAAATACCCTGTGGACCACGTGCCAGGCTTTCTGTTTCCAGGACTAATGCTGTGCCTACTGCCCAGGTCTGCATTTCTTCCCTTCACTTCCCCCCTCCAACTCTTCCCTCCTGTTTTTAACTATTTAGATAAGCTGAGACCAGTGTTTTTCAAATTGCGGTCTGGGTACCCCTAGTGGTCCCTGAGATCCTTTCAGGATGTCCCTCAAGTCAGACTCCTTTCATGATGATACTAAGACATTATTTTCCCTTTTCAGGCTCATTCTCTCAGTAGTGTAGAGTGGAGTTTTCCAGAGGCTACGTGACATGTGATATTGCAACAGATTGAATGCAGAAGCTGGTATGAGAACCCAGTCATCTTCTACCGGACCAGACATTAAAGATATTTGCAAAATGTAAAACAAAGCCACTTCTCACTAAGTTTTTGATCCAGAAAATGTAGTTATTTTTCATAAAAATGTAATGGTAACGTATAATAGGTTTATTAAGTGATGTGATACATATTTTTTCCATTTTAATTTCTAATACAGTAAATATTGATAGATATAAACCCAAATAGACAAAAGTTCTTGAGGGTCTTGAGGTTTTAAGAATTTGTAAAGGGGCTGTGAGACCAAAACTTCTGCGAGCTGCTGGATTAGACAGAACTCCTCTGGGAAACCATCCCTAACTTCTCAGAGAGTTTGGTTAGGCGCCCTCCCACGTGCCCGTAACAGAATACTCCCGCTTCTAGCAGCCACCACCTTCAGCTGTAATCACCTGCTTACTGCTCTGTCTTCCCCACTGGCCTTCATGGGCAGGGACTGTGTCTAGAGCACCTAACACAGAAGGTTATTAACTATTTGTTGGCTAAATAAGTATCCACAGTGCTGTCCTTGTCCCTTTGTGATGGGTCCTAGGAACTGCTGTTGGCAGTAGCAGTGGCTGGAAGAGAGGACGTCAGTTATCCTTACAGCCATGCAATTCTCATCTCTGACTCAGAAAAATGGTGGTGGGCCGGGGACTGCTCACAAAGTCCTGTTTAAAATGGTATCATTTTAATCACAGATTCTAGGGAAAATGCAGTCCAAGTTCTAGACTACTAGAATTAGTGGTTTACATTTAGAACGAAAGATGTTTTCCTGTGGTGGGGCAGGAGGCTTGCATCACAAATAGGTCCCAAAATAAGAAAATGTTAAATATATGAAAAATAAATATAAATAGTATCTTAAATTCAATGTCTTCTAATTTAGTAGACAGTGTAGGTCAGAACAGTATCATAAATATCAAGGATAACCTGACCGATATGACTATCTCTTCTTTATAATGACAGCTTATTCATGATCGAACACCCTTCTTGGAGGGTGGAGGAGGGGCACTGGCTCACTAATTTGGGTATCTTGGTGGTTTGGTGCAACATCCAGCAACAGAAACAGGAATTTTAACTAATATCACCCCTGCCCTATCCTCTCTGCTCAAGACAATGTGTGTGTTCTTACGAGCCCTGTCCAGGAATGTGTGTGGGAGTCTATACATTTTCACCCTCTTAATAAATTAGGTGCTACAACTTGGACTGAGGCAATGGTGGTGTTGAGCTGCTCGAAGTCAAGCTTGTTTGAGTGAATGTAACATTTTGATATTCTGTGAACCATTTAGCATCCACAATGCTGCATTTCATCAGTGAGCTGGTTCTCTCCTTAAAGCCTCCTGGGGTCATCTTTTGGTAAAGCTTCCTCCTCCCTTTATAGGCTGGGGAGGAAGGCGACCTGAAGAGTGGTTATGCGACTCAAGTTCATTAAGAAAAGCACAAGTAAGACAGTAAAGCCAGTGCTGTGTCCCCAGAGTGATGAGAGATACTCTATACCCGGGCACTCTGTACAAACAGTCTGACTCTGTGTGGTGGGGTCATGAAAAGCCGGCACTGAAAGACTTCTCATCTTTGAACCATACATCACAGACACTGAAATAACCTGTTAATTGCCTTTACTCTTTGATATCTTAGTATTTCAAAAATCTTCAATCAGGCAGTTATTCTTCCTTTCAAAAATAGTGGTTAAATAGAAATCGGAGAAAACGTTTCATTCTGTGGACTTCATAGTGTGAAATGAAAATCAGACAAGTTTTGGGGAGCTACAATCGTAACTTTAAAAGCTCCCCCGCTTCCTCCCCCTCTAATGTGTGAACCAGTTCATGATGCCTTATCCCAAACCCTTGGGGCCAGATGTTTTGAATCCAGAATTTCTCAGGCTTTAAAAAGGCAGAATGATGCATATACTGTCATATCATGGCAATGCCCCCATAATAAATCCATTAACATTTCTGTATGGAATATATAGCAAAAAAATCCACACAAAGGGAGATTTAAAAAGATTAAAATAGCCTCACATCATTTCAGGTCAGGTTTTGTGGCTAAATGAGTTTAAATTCTGGAATTGAAAATCCAGGAATCTGGATCTATAGAACACTGTTTCTCAATCTGTGGTCCCTGGAATAGCATCAGTGTCCCCTGGGAACTTAGCAATGCAAACTCTCACATCTCGTCCCAGACCAAGTGAAGCAGAAATTCTAGGGGGAGGGCTCAGAAGTCTGTTCTAACAACCCTCCAGGTGACTCAGATGCATGCTAAAGTTTAAGAACCACTGCCTTGGAAGAAATGATTGCCACCAGACGACTTACCTGTCTCTGCTCCTGCGGGAGGGGAATGTGGCCTTACAGCCCTCCATCGTGCACGTGTGCGTTTCTTTGGCATGCATGTTCTTGTGATGCATCTTCATACCGCAAGCGTTTTTAAAAGTCTTCTTGCAGATGTCACACTGGAAGCGATTTTCCTCCTTCGGCCTCGCTAATGTGTGCTGACCTGAGTGCTCCAGCTCTTTGGAATCTTCAAAACAAGGAAAAGCCATCCCCCCGCTGGACAAAGCACTGAGAAGGCCCCCAGCCAGCAGGCGCTGCTGCAGTTTGACGTATTCAGGAAAAGGGACACAGGGCTCCACCCCGGGGGTGAGGTGAGGTTCACGGCCACCATCCTCCCTGTCCCGTGGCACCGCGGTCAGCACTGACTTCTGCTCAGTCTCCCTCTCCGAGTTGTATGTGGCCTGCTCGGGGGTTTGGCGGAGGGCTTCGCTGGACTCGATCGCCGGTTTGAGATGGCAGGGCCTCTCTCCTTCAGGACCAGGCTTCCCTAAGCTTCCCAATGGGGCTCTGTCTGACCGGGGGCTGCAGGCCTCCAGCTCGTCTTCACTGACCACCTGCAGGGGCATGTCTTCATCTGAGCTGAGAGTGTGCCTCTTCTCATCTGCTATCTCCACAGCCTCCTTCTCTATTTTGATGGGCATACTGGACTTCCGTGATTTCTTCTTGGGCAGGGCATCGAATGGCATTTCGTTGGAAACCAGTTGTTCCGGGATTGAAGAGGACAGCAGAGGGAGGGAAGGTAGCATCCCAGGTGTGTTTGCTAGCTCAGCCGGGGTGGCCGGACTGCGGTAGAAAGGAAGGACTGGCTGGACCGTCTTCAGGTTGGGAAAAAGCACTCCGTTTTGGCCGATGCTTGGGAAGGCTGGCTGGCTCCGGGAATCCTCCCCTGAACCAGTGTAGCCAGGGAAAGGTCGACAGTCTGGAGAAGTCACCCTGAAACCGGGGCGCTTATAGCTCTCAGAGGCAGCCAGGTTCAGGCTGTTCCTCAGGTCTTTGTCCCTATTGTTTCTGTTCATTGGCATGTGCAGCCGGGGGTTGGGGTTGGCGCTGTGGCGGTTCCGGCTCCTCAGGGAGCTGAACACCATGTTACAGCCTTCGATGGTGCACTTATGCTTGATCTTCAGGTGGACGGCATTGTAGTGGATCTTGAGGGTGCCTTTGTCGTAGAAGGTCTTCTCACACGCTGTACAGAACACCCGGCCCTTCTTTGTGCCGAGGCTGTTCCTCTCGGACTTCACTTTGCCCTCTGGGGACAACTGTGTCCTTTCGAGCTTTGTGATGATGTTGTATGAGCTGGAGTCACTTAAATGGGCACTGTCTTCCTTTTTAGTAACAGGACCTGGACAGTTTAGACACTGCTCTTTTTCAACCTGAAATGGGGTGGAACTGGAAGTTAAGAAGCTGCTGTTGGGGAAGGGTCCGTGGATTTCCTGTTTGGGGTCCTGACTTTGGTCCTGACCCTGCTCCAGCACATATGGCTCGGGCACTGACCCTATCAGTGCGGGAGGCACAGGGTTGAAGAACTGGAAGGGCAGCATGAAGGTCATGTTGTTTATGAGGTTCTCAAAGGGGTGTATACTGCCGGGGTTTCCTTTGTCTACAGGAGCGGGGAGGCTGCCACTCCGGTGGCTGCAGCTCTCGATGAAAGCCCTGATATCTACGTTCGCCGTGGAGGGCGGGATGATGATGGACTGCTCTTCCTTCTCTTGAATTGCCATGAGCTCAACGATAGACTTGGTCTCTCCAAAACGAAGGAACTGCTGCAAGGTGGCCACCTCTTCCTCACTGGTCATGATGCTCCAGTGATCCAACACCTTTCCTGATGCATCCTAAACCCAAACCAGAATTAAAAAGGGCAATTAATTTACTATTCCTTACCCTTTTCTCTAAGAAAGGAACCATGTATGTGGTCAGAGCCTCCACCAGCACCACAGGGCACTTTTGTACATATTAGAAAAAGACACCCCTGTGAGCACAAGGCTTGATGAGTTCAGCCCTCGCTCACCCCACTGTCCTAGGACAGAAACTCTGTGCAGAAAATAAACTGCACAAAGGTAAGCAGTGGTCCAGAAGAGAGAAATAAAATTATATCACTCAAGCCTAAAGGAAGTTTGGTGATTATTTTCCATCTTATTTCAAACCAATTGGTTGTCTTGCATCAGGCATAATTTTCCTCCACTAAAATTAAAATATGTATCATTTGAACAATAGTAACTTCTTTATCTAAAGAGTATAGATGAGGCAATCAGGCCTAGATATAGTTCAAGTATTTATTCGCTGCAAGTTTAATAATCTTTCCCAAGCAACTAACACTGAAAAACAAATGAACCTGTATTGATCTATTGCCTATGTTCACAAAGCAGAGCTGTAATTACACTGGAGTGTTGGAGAGCTTTCAAACTCTAGCAAGGCCTAACTTTTCCCAAAACTACAATAAATATTTTATCACAGAACATGTATTTGATGGCCTACTGAGATTTTTCACAGTGCATGTAAGAGTTCTGAAGATGATGAGGAATGTAACATCATAAATTTTTCATGCACTAGAGGTTCAAGGTAATTGATTCCATATTTTTAATCCTAACACTAGAAAGCAAGATTATTAGGATCATTAAATATTGATCTATGTCATAATGTAAGATCATAATGCTGCTCTACATAAAAGGTGGTTTCTAGCCTGCTGGGGGTCCTGCACTCGAGGTGAGCAAACATGTTTCCAGAGGAAGACTGGAGGCATTGTCAGAGTTCGAAAGAAGTGGGTTCAAATTCTCAGTCTGCTGCATACAAGCTGAGTGACTTCAGCAAGATTTAGAAGCACTCAGTCTCTGGTTTTCCAACTGGAAAATGGGGATAATCTACCTACCTTGTGAGATTACTGGAAGAGGGTCTAAGTCAATAAATGGTTGTTATTAGTGTTTGTTTCAGGGTTATGGCCCAGCTGAGTTAGACTGAAGTGTATGTTAGTCTTGGAAATAACATTCATCTGCCCATTTCGTTGAAATTTTTATCAAAGTTAGCTGACATTTTCTAGTGTAGTGACAAGAAAAGAAAATGCTGTAGCTGTTTCATATGTCAGAGAAGTGGTAAAATTCACACCAGGGAATATGTTCTTTGCTGTTGAAACACCTTGATAGCCTCTCTGGATAGGAAGCATAAGGCCGACCCCCCACAGTATGGTACAGAAAAAGAGGTACAACTACTCTGCAAAGGAAAGAGATGAGAGAAGGGACGAAAGGCATGGAATGATGGAGAGACGTAGAGAAAATGCGAGGAGGCCAAAAGGAACTGGGGAGGCAGAGAGAGAATGAGCCAGAGCATGCACACAGAAATATCACAAGGTGATGGAGCCTGGGAAGGAAAATTAGCAGTAGGATGGATGGCAGAGGGCTTTAAAGAACAGGAAGGTGTGGCATGAAATTGTAACTGTTTGCTGTGCCGTTCTGCAATGTAAGTTCCCTTCCTCAACCCCAAACTCTCAGTAAAATCTGAAACATGATGTCTTGTGTCAGTAAACAGTTTGAGGATAATAAAAGAAACGGAGGCAGCACCAAGGATGGGGCAAATGGCTGACTGTGGAAGAGCTGGCTGAGTGAAACCTAAATCAGAGAATATGTAATGCTCCCGCATCCTCAAGTCTTACAGATACCTTGAGGAAAGGTACTGGATTTCACCCAGAACATGAGGTAGGGCTTAAGACATTAGAAATAACTATGAAAGGGAAGGATGACTACCAATGGCTGTAGCACTGTAGGCAACTGGGTTACATCAGTTCCATGGACACAAGCTTTGGAAGACATTCTAGGAGAACAGTGCCCATGGTCCCCATACCTGCAGCACGTATCCACGGATGTAATCCTGGAGGGTCCAGTCCAAGGCATGGAGGATCTGGAGGACCTCATCTTGCTTCAACACACTGAAGAGCCGGTCCAGTAGGATTTTCAGGCGAATAGGGATGGCCTGGGTCCCATACAGCATGAGGCTGCTAATATCAAACACCACGTTGGACTGAACAATCTCCACCTGGCTTGTTGGATACACGGGGGGAATCCTTAGCTTACTTAGAGCTGAAAAAGTGAATTGAAGAAATATCGTTTTTCAAGATTCTACTTTTAAGAGAAACACTGCACAGAAGTAGGTTAGCGCTAACTCTCAGTTATTTGTTCCAGTAGAAAAACCACAAATATGCAAACAATTAATAATCTTAATAGCTATCTGGCTCCAAGTTATTCTCAGGAACTTCTAAAATAAAATGGACTAGCCTGAGAGGCTTCTTTTCTCCCTTTCCTGTGGCATGCCTAAGGAGTAAAACAGCCGCAAGTAGGGACCGTGCACGGAAAACAGGTAAAAACGAAGGCGGTAGGTGCATAATCAAGAGGATGGAAAACCAGGAAGCATGGGGTCTGGGGAAGTACCTGGACTTGGAAATCCAACAGATCTGGGTTTGAGCCCTGGTCTGCCACTATCTAGTTTTTGGGTTGGGCAAGTTAAGCCACTGAACTCCATGCTGTCCAATGCAACAGTCATCAGTCACATATGGCTATTCAAATTTAGATTTAAATTAATTAACATAAAATAAAACTAAAAATTCAGTTCACCAGTTGTGCTAGTCACATTTCAAGTACTTGCAGCCACATGTGGCTAGTGTAGGGCTGTCAGGTATAGCAAACAAAAAAACAAATAAAAATTAATCTTGAATATACATTTCAGATAAAAAATGAATAAGTGGTATACACTTAAACCACAAATATTCATTGGGATATACTTAGGCTAAAAAATTATGTATAGTTTAACTGAAATTCAAATTCAGCTGAGCATTCTGTTTTTCCATCTAGCAACCCTGGGTTAGAGGCTACTATATTAGACAGCACAGAACATTTCTATTGTTGCAGAATGACAGCCCTGAAGCACCATTTTCTACATCTTTAGAAGGGGGTTGATAAACACTTATCATATAGAGTTGTTAAGATTCAAAGAGATAACATATATAAAGCTCTTAGGCTGTTATCTGGCACATAGCAGTAACTTACAAATGTTAGCTGTCGTTCTTAGATATTAAATCTGTTCCTGAATAACTGTAAGTTATTTAAAGGGTACACTAAAGGCCAAGAGAGGGGGCAAAATAAAGTTACCGTGGGCCACCCATCCATGTCTGCACTGCTCACACTGACGGTGGTTTATTTTCCCTGGTTTGAAGCTTTGGCAACTACAGTTCAGAGTACAGCCGATGGCCTGCAGAAGAGAACACAGGGATACCTGGCATGTTAGTGAGGCGTGGAACACACATCACATTTACATAACAAAACACACTCCTCCATTGAGCAACGTTCTTTGAGTGATGTGTGCCCACTCTGTGCCAGGCCCAGACCTGTATAGTGTATCCTGGAAAGAGGGGAAGCTGGCCCCAGACCTGGAGACGCTGAACATGCTACACAGATATTCTGCATGCGAGAATGGGCTAAAATCCCAGAACTCTTTATAAGAAAGGATTACAGGTGGGAAGGAAACATCTTGCTTGTTATTAAGGAACAGAAAGGGTAAAGAAGAGTCACATTGTCACTGAATCTCTAAGTTGACCAGAACAGCAACCCTGAAAGGTAATACACGGGCTACCCCTGACACAAGTAAATAGGAGAGCAATCAGAACTGAGAGTAACACACATGTGTAATTCGTTACCCCCCAAAATGAGGCAGAGGCTGAATATCAAGATAGATTTGAGGACATGCAATGGCTGACCACACTGATGATGATTCCCCGACTCTGCTCACTGGACTGTGTGACTGACAGACGCACACAGGCTGGTCAAGCACTGCATCGATACCCAGGTGCAGGTCGTAGTGTTGGGTGTGGTGTGGGGGTGTGGAGTGTGCAAACACACAACTGAAATTGAAACTAGAGATGTACGTGACAACAAAGTTCTAGTATTAAGAACAAAGCTTCACGTGTATTATTATTATTATTTTTGCGGTACGCGGGCCTCTCACTGTTGCGGCCTCTCCAGTTGCGGAGCACAGGCTCTGGATGCGCAGGCTCAGCGGCCATGGCTCACGGGCCCAGGCGCTCCACGGCATGTGGGATCCTCCCGGACTGGGGCACGAACCCGTGTCCCCCGCATCGGCAGGTGGACTCTCAACCACTGCACCACCAGGGAAGCCCACTTCAGATGCACTTTTAAGATAAATTTCTCAAAAGGGGATAGAGGCCTGAGGAACATAATCTATTATTAAAGAGAAAAAGCTCTCACAGGAGCTCTGTCAGTGAGATTCCTGGGAAGCGCTGCTGTGTGGAATCTGTATGATTCAAGAGAGCTTTGACACTGTGGAGTGTCTCTGTGTTTGGAGGGGATGAAAGAGCCCTACGACTATGGGTTTAAACCCTCCATGTGACAATTAAGGGACTATGTGACCTTGGGTGGGGACAGGGAAGGGGAGAATCTGGCCTAGGACACTTTAAGGAGTATATAACTAGTCTTCACTCAAAAATCAGTGGCTGGTGGGATTGTAAAATGGTGCAGCCACTTTGGAAAACAGCCTGGCTGACTCTCACAAACACAGTTCCTATACGACCAAGCAATTCCAGTCCTAGGTATAAGCCCAAGATAACTGAAGACATACGCCCCAAACTTGTACCCAAACTTTAAAATCAGCATTATTTATATTAGCCCCGAAGTGGAAACAACCTCAATATTGATCAGCTGATGAATGGATAAACAAAATGTGATATGTCCATACAATGGGATATCACTAGGCAATAAGAAAGAATGAAGTACTGATACCTGCTAAAACATGGGTGAACTCTGAAAATATTATGCTAATGAAAGAAGCCAAGTACAAAAAGTCACAGGTGGAATGATTCCATTTATGTGAAATGTCAAGAACAGGCCAATCCATAGAGGCACAAAGCAGACTAGTGGTTACCGGGGTCGTGGGGAGCAGGTAGGGATGAGGAGTGACTGCTAATGGGTGGTAGTGGGGGGAAAGGGTTATCTTTTTTGTTTGTTTTCATCTTTTAAAAAAAATTAATTAATTAATTTATTTATTTTTGGCCGCGTTGGGTCTTTGTTTCTGTGGGCAGGCTTTCTCTAGTTGCGGCCAGCGGGGACTACTCTTCGTTGCAGTGCAGGGGATATACTCCTAGGAGTAGAACTGCTGGATCATATAGTAACTCTATGTTTAACTTTTTGAGAAAATCCCAAACTGTTTTTCAAAGTTTATATTCCCACCAGCAGTCTGTGAGGGCTCTGATTTCTCCACATCCCCACCAACACTAGTTACTGTTGGCCTTTTCTACTGTAGTTATTCTACTGGGCATAAGTGGTATCTCATTGTGGTTTTGATTTGCATCTCCCTGACGGCTAATGGTGTTCAGCATCTTTTCATGTGCTTGACGGCCATCTGTATGTCTGTTCAGATATTTTGCCCATTTTTAAATTGGGTTGTCTCTTTAGCATTGAGTCGTAAGAGTTATTTATATACTCTAGGTACAAGTCCCTTACCAGATATACGATTTGCAAATATTTTCTCCAATCCTTGGCTTATCCTTTCACTTTCTTCACAGTACCCTTTGAAACACAGATAGTTTAAATTTTGACCAAACTTTTCTTTTTTTTTTTTTCTTTTTTTTTTGCGGTATGCGGGCCTCTCACTGTTGTGGCCTCTCCTGTTGCAGAGCACAGGCTCCGGACGCGCAGGCTCCGCGGCATGTGGGATCTTCCCGGACCGGGGCACGAACCCGTGTCCCCTGCATCGGCAGGCGGACTCTCAACCACTGTGCCATCAGGGAAGCCCCAGAGTTTCTTTCTGAGGTGATGAAAATGTTCTAAAATCAGGTAGTAGTGATGGTTGTACAACTCAATGAATACAGTGAAACCACTCAGCTGTATACTTTATAAGGGTGAATATTATGGTATGTGAATCATATTTTGATAAAAATATTATTTTAAAAAATCAGTCCACTATACTCCTATTAGAATGGACAAAATCCAGAACACTGACAGCATCAAATGATTGTGAGGATGTGGAGCAACAGAAATCTCATTCATTGCTGATGAGAACGCAAAATAGTAATAAAGCTACTTTGGAAGACAGTTTGGTGGTTTCTTATAAAACTAAGCACACTCTTACCATACAATCCAGTAACTGCACTCTTTGGTATTTACCCAAAGAAGCTGAAAACTTATGCCCACACAAAACCTGCACATGGATGTTTATAGCAGCTTTATTCATAATTTCTAAGACTTGGAAGTAAACAAGATGTCTTTTAGTTGGCAAATAGATAAACTGTGGTACACCCACACAACAGAATATTATTCAGCACAAAAAAGACATGAGCTATAAAGCCATGAAAAGACATGGAGGAAATGTAAATGCATATTATTAAGTGAAAGAAACCAATCTGAAAAGGCTACATACTGCATGATTCCAACTATAAAACATTCTGGAAAAGGGAAAACTATGGAGACAGTAAAAAGATTACTGGTTGCCAGGGGGTTGGCAGGGCTTGGGGAATGAACAGGAAGAACACAGAGGATTTTTAGGGCAGTGAAAATACTCTGTATGATACTATAATGATAGATACTTGTCACTGTACATTTTTCCAAACCCATAGGATGTACGACACCAAGAGTGAACTCTAAGGTTAAACCATGGATTTTGGGTGATTATGATGTGTCAAATGTTGGTTCATCAATTGTAACAAATGTACCCTCCGGTGAGGGATGTTGAAAATAGGGGAGGCTATGCCTACGTGGAGGTAGGGGATATATGGGAAATCCTTGTACTTTCCTTTCAATTTTTCTATGGATCTAAAAGTATTCTAAAAAAATAAAGTCTTTTAAAAAACCAGTGACCTCCCTTAAATACAGGTTAAACTTTACATGATTTGACCGTTATCTACAATTTCTTTTGGATTACAATGGGCCTGAACAGAACAACTAGACAGAGATTTTCAGGTGAAGGAATAGGGCTGTTTATAACTGAGGTGTGCAGCAGACAGCAACAGTGTTACCTAATCCCTTCAACAGGCTATCAAAAAACAGGAAATATGGGTAAAAGGGTTTTGCTCTTTGTCAAGTCATAGAATATAACATAAAGAACTCCAGATGATCAGAACAGTCTCTCACTCTAATAATGCATACATTCTCATCTGGGGTATACCATCCCCAAAGGGTGAAAACTGCTCCATTCTTTTTATGTATAAAGCACACATATACATACATAAACAGACATATAGTATATGGTGTGAAACTAAAATTTCATTGTGGTAAGCACAATTAGAAAAATATTTCTAAAGTCTCCTTAGATGCGTGTGGGGGGGTGAATAATGAAAAATAAGATCAAGAAATATTGCTCTAATGACAGAAATTATTTTACTTTTTGGTTATAGAGTTTCTACTTGTGTACACATATACAAATGTATTATTGATAAATATACAAACACACACATCTATATACCTGCACACATAATTATATAGTTATCTTGACTGGAAGTTAAAGGATAAAAATGATTAATGGTTTAGTTACTACTACACACTGTCAAAATTTAAAAGAGTGTCATTACCTCAATTTGCAGCATTCCTATGTTGTCCAGCTTCTAAACTTCCCTGCAACTCCCTGAATGTCAGCTCACAGGCAAACCAATCATCTATACTCTCAATAGCTACCAGCACACTTAGTACTAAACCTCTGAAATATTTCATCACCTACATTCTACAAATACGACTGTTTTAATGGAAATTTTTAAAAGAAGAAAAGTTCTTATTTTGGATTATGTCCCTCAAGATGCTATTCATTCTTTAAAAACAAGATATTGGAACTATATGAAGTGAATTCACATTTTATTTACTTGGAAAATAGGACCTGCCTGAATTAGAGAAAGATGTCCTTGAGCACATACTTCCTCCACTCCCTAAGGAGTCCGCTCAGAAGGCTGACTCATGGGAAGCCCCCAGGAAACTCTGAGTGACACTATCTCAGGCCCAGCACAGTGAAACTACAGAGGGAACAATTCCAAGCACATTCCATAGCCTAAGGTTGAAACTCATTTTTTTCTGCATCTCTTGACACCAACTCAGGGTTTCTCAACGTCAGCATTATAGACATTTTGAGCTAGATAATTATTTGTGGTGGGCGCTGTCTTGTGCATTGTAGGATGTCGAGCAGCATCCCTGGCTTCTACCCACCAGGTGCCACAGTAACACCTCCCTTCCTCAGCTGTGAGAACCAAAATGTTT